GTACGTTTATGTCTTATGCACCCCTTTAACGTATATCTGCACGTTGTCTGTTGAACTACTTGTTAAAACTTATGCCACAGTTTCTGGCATAAGTTAATGAACAATTGTAGCAGCATAATCTCTGAAACGACGAATTTTCACGGAGGGGCATTGCAACGTTCAAGAAACTTGCGAACCTAGTTTGCAATGGTTATTTTTGTGATCAGTCGTATGGTGATACTTTAACACTAGGCTATTGGCCAATTAATTAATTTCTTTTCAAAAATTAAGGAAATTCGCGTTCATGATCTGAGCCTTATCATCTGTCGCAGTGTCCCACGCATAGGAAGAAATCTTTAAATATTACACGTGCTTATGTCAATGGCCTTTGATTTGACAGTATATTAGTCCTTAGGCACGGAGTTATTCTTGGCCTTGAACTTGCCTTTAGATTCAGCGTTAAAGTTGCCTTCAATTGGCCTTAAACTTGGCATTAACCCTGCCATAGGCATGACCTTTCACTTGGCTTTAGACCTGGAAGCAGAATTGGCTTTTGATATGGCCATAATCTTTAGACTTGGCCTTAGATGATTCTTAATTTGGCTTTATACTTAACCTTAGATTTGCGCCATCTTGGAATTGTGTTGACCTTAGGCTTGAAATTAGAATTGTCCTTAGACACCTTCGCAAAATTTGCGTTAGACCAGGACTTAGACCGATCCTCACATATGGTCGTAGAATTGGCTTTACAGTTGGTCTTCGAACTGGCCTTAAATGTGTCCTAAGACCTGCCCTTAAAGTTGGCCTTCACTTGGCTTTAAACTTCCCAATAAACTAGGAATTGGGTTTGTCCTTAAACTAGGCCTCAGATTAGGCATTAAACATGACAAAAGACATGGCCTTAGAATTGGCGCTAAACTAGCTCATAAACGTGACCTTAACTTTTATTTATGGTAATTTCCTTAAACCTATTCTACTCTTGGTCATAACATTGCCTTTCAATGTAGCCTTAGACTTCTTCTTACTTGACCTCAGATTCGGTCCAGTGGTCCAACCCTGTATTACATGTGTCAGTGAAAATGCATTTGGAATGGGGACACCGCTAGAGCACTCAGATGGTCAGCAGCACATCGGGACTTTCCGTGGATGGCGCGCG